CCAGCCAGCCAGCCAGTCAGTCAGCCAGCCAGCCAGTCAACCAGCCAGTCAACTAACCAGTCAGCCTCTCTTCCTAATTTACTCGAAAGGTTAAGGTCATTTGCCCCGAATGACATTGTGTTTAACCTTTCGTTTGTTTAACGAGATTACTAACAAACCGAGAAGCGAAACTAGAGCGAGATTTCTTGAGATGCACCACCTCGCTGCTCATTCCTAAAATGATTTCCTATCAGTACGTTTTTTCGATTCTGATCTTTTATCTAAATGTAATTAATTTGGCGATCGGTCTTTTTCCTTGAAATTATTATCGACACGATTAATAAGTGGGGGGAGGAAACGCAAAAATAAGAAACGGGAAGTGAACAAAAGTTTTATGATCAATGAATGGCCTGTGTGCCTATATGTACATATTCTGAAACATATACATATAATACCTATGCATGATATAAATATATTTTGTATAAAACCAAAACGTTTTGATTTGAGTCGGCTTTCACCGTTTATGTATATTTTTATCATATTTCGATCGTAATTTCATCAAGCTTTCGAATAAAACACACTGCTACATTTTAAGTATAACGAAGACATGAGAGAAAAAGACAGATAGATAGATAGATAGATAGATAGATTAGAGAAAGAGAAAGAGAAAGAGAAAGAGAAAGAGAAAGAGAAAGAGAAAGAGAGAGAGAGTGAGAGAGAGTGAGAGAAGGGACAGGGAATGTAGCTCAATGTGAGAAACGTTTTCTTTTGACTTCTTTTCATCTTTTTAAAAAGCTCACCTTTTAAAAAGAACTACGAGGTGGTTACAATTTTCCAAATAGACGAAACTTTTCTTGATAGAAATGATATTGTCGAAGAGCCAATTTGAAAGATTGAAAATTTGAAAATCCTTAGCGTTTCTTCGCTAAATAGTCGATTTTTGATTATTGATTTTGAGCCGAAATCGTAGCTCTGTAATATACTCGGCTAGTTTCGATCGATAATGGATTTATTAAAATTGTCTACACATTTCCATCGATGACGTTCAGAGCAACACAGCAGACAGAGCAACATCGGGAAATTTTCGAGCAGAAGTTTGATTCATATTTCATAAGTGAAATGAATAATTTGTAAAATAACACAGATATACACAAAGTCAGAGCGCGATTAATCGTAGTATTTAATGCACACAATGTCTACGTGATAGAAGAATGAATCGCGATTCGATCGCGAAGAAATATTTGAAAGAACATGAATCCCAAATCAAGCACACGACTACGACTAAGCATTCACAACAACGTTTCATTCAATCGTCGTCTCGGTTAGGCTGAACTCATTAACAAATCGTGCTAATTATGGCTTCTATTATCGGTTAAAATGCCGATTGGTTGATCGGCGCGATCCATACACGGGTAGTGGGATGGGTTAAAATCCAGTCGGGACCAATCGAAGCGGGTGGTACCGATCAGATATCAAGTCGCCGCCGCTGCCGTTGCCGCCGCTGCCACCGCCGCCGCGCAGCCGACATCACCACCACGAATAACAAAATAACATGTTTGTTTCGCTTTTATACCTCCTCTCTTATTCTCCGTACCTCGAAAAGTGCTTTAAAATCAAAATCTTCTTCGCACAATGCTTTTTTCTTTCACTTATCTTGTAGCTGGTGTACCGCTTACAAATGATCGAAGCTATTACTAGAACAGTGGTAACATACTACTCTGCATCTAGTTTGATACACTATAGGTGTGCACTATAGTTTTATCAAAATTCATTGAGATACTAAATTAGTTTATACTTTATATATATTGTCATTTGAATCAAAACATAACAAAGTAACAAAACCAAATTTTAAAACTGAGATTTGATTTCTTACCTTTGAAAAGGTTAATTCGCGAAATGAATTGTCCATACTCTGACACTGATTATTTATGTACCTATCTCAAATTAAAGACATGGTAAGTTATGGAGGAAGATGGTAAAAATCGTGAACGGAAGATAAACATCAGAATAAAGATGCGTTGAGATTATGCTTGATTATATAAACTGTATTTTAATGACCTTTATCTCGATCGGTCGACATAATATATGTATGTATTCTCTCTTTGATATCCCTAACCTTTCTTATCTTCTACAGAAAATCTCTTCTTCCCCAAAACATTCTTCAACTATCGTATAATATAATAAATCTGAGAAAATGAAATTTCTTAAAATTTCTTAAATGCGATCTTCAGTCACTTATCAGAGTCATTTGTTTAACATTGTGTTTATTCTATGCGAGCATTTGTAATTCGTATTATAATTTTTTTTTCATTTTGCAAACGTATCTTTTGTGTTGTGCGTATATATTTATACAGGTGGGTTAGCAATATTCTTGATTTCATAGGAAATATCCTTCTTTTTTGCACAACGATCTTTTGTATACAACACATGGAACACGAGTCAGATACAAACTTCTGTAAGATGTAGAAAATGAAAATGACGTTCGCAGTAAATAAAGATTAGTGTATCGTTATACACCAAAGAACTGTCGTATTCGTATTCGTCGGACAACGTAGCATATAAATAGTCTTTCTATTCCTGCTCTTTGCGATTTCTCTGTAAGTCATTATATCCGGCTTATAAATATAAAAATATCGTTTCGATGCCTACCGAGAGAACACTATTATTTACTCATGGGGGAATGAATAATGAAAAAAATGCAGATTGCAAGTATATAACCATCCTTGTCATCCTGTATGATCTTTATCATCAAAGTTAATCAGATAAATAGATAGCAAGAATGAAATTTAGCTGAACGAAGAATTATCGACGAAATTATCGCGGAAAGACAAAAAGAAAGGAACAAATGTTAAGTCGAAAATGGAAAAAGATCAGTCGTAAAAAAGGGTAAGAAAAAGGATCGAAGGAAGGAGCGGTGGAAGGGCAAAAGAGAGAGAGGGAATGGAACGAAATATCTTGGTTGTTCGTGACCATAACCGGCGAAGAGGTTAGTAATAGGTTGGTCGGTGGTTGGTTGGTTGGTTGGTTGGTTGGATGGCTGACTAGCTGACTGTGCAGATCGAGCCACACGGAAATTCACTTGAAAAGTAGCCATTACCTTAATTATTGGTCTTTCGTAGAGAGACTATGTGCACGTTAGCCAGAATACGATGCGAAGTGTGTTGGTCGGTTCTCCTGTCCTGTACAATTGGTTGAGAATTCCTTTCCACGACATTTTGCTCAGAATCTATCGTTAACTTCGCAAGCTACTTGCAAGGATAATAAAAACGCAAAGAAACAAAAACGTTATATCGTCTAACGAAAGTATTTCGAAATCGTAAAGAAGCAATCGTAAAGAGCGATTAAAATAAAAGCATATTAGTAAAGGAAAGATATTCGCTAATAAAGTTAATATTCATAATAAAATTAGAAATAAAGTAAAATTTGCATAGCATTTGAAGGAACGTTCGAATGGCAACATGCGAGAAAATGGCCAAGTATGTACCTAAATCTCTCTCGGTCAGATTTTTTCACATTTACACGATCCTTGCTGTTTTCGAGGGTATAATTTCGGAACGGCATACCAGAAACTTGGTATCTGCTCCCCCTCGCTCGCTCGCTCTTCCTTCTTTCTACCGATTACTCGCATAATGCACGCCAACTACGTAGTTACACTCGCGCCACGTTACATGTACACCTATATACGGCTGAGTGTAATTACACAGCTAGGATGCGGCCACGCAGTTATTTATTTAAGCGTGCAAAGGGCCGTAGCCATTAACGGGTGCCTTTCCTCGAATCACCTTCTCTGTGGGGCTGGTATTCTAATGACTGGTAATTTCACTGAGAATCTCTACCAAGTAAATCTAAATGACTACGCGCGACTTTGCCCGAGCAAAACGAGCATTTTCAATCGAACAATTTTCCTCTTTCTATCGTCCACTTCCATGTGGTATACCATATACACCCGTCATTCACTTTGCTCCGCTTTATCTTCTCCTTAACCGATCATGACTTTTCGGTTCTGTTTATTCTGTTAAATCAATTCAATTCGCTTGATTAAATTAACCAATTAACGGCAAATTACCGTTATCATTATCGTTATCAGATATGGATATAGATTTTGTTGGGTAATTGAATCTTCGAGTCTAAAATACAACGATATCAATGTCATAGCTGATTAACTTCATCCTACTACAGTCCGCGGTATTCGCAAGGATATGCGGGTGCAATGCAATGAATATTTGTGTTAGCGTTATTATGCTATAGGAAAATGGAAAAATGATCGAAATGCGTGTTACGAAAGCCCTTCCCACACACACAATTCCACACTGTTTGTATACAGTATACTGTAATTGTAATATACAACGTCTGGTAAGCGGGGACAGCGCGAAAGAGCAATGGAAAATTTCACAGTGTGCCGCCGTCGCGTCGGTTCGATTGCAGACGTCACGAGTGAAATGATAAATTATTATTACCAACAGAGAATTGTTTACGCGAAATAAGGAGGAAGCAAAACGAGAAATCAAGTAACGAAATCGAATCATTCTGTGATAACAACACGAAAAAAGGAGGTCGACATCATTTAGTAACGCGTTTTATCTTGGGTGGAATTGACTTGCGAGTGCGACCAACTTGTGTCGTAACTTGTAACGACAATTCGATAATTTCACTGTAAAAATGTTCTTTTATTTCTTTTCTTTCTGGTTGTTCGTGCACAGCGAATCCAATTGCAACGATAATTTGATCGTTCTTTCCTCCAAGAAAATTGTTACGATTTATATACGTTACAAAGAACCAAATTAGTTGCGTAAAATTTCAACTGGCTTTCATTTGTAGCCAAGCGTTTTACCTAGTCATGCACCTCATCGTCGATATCAATGGATAGCTGAATTTATTTTGAATTTGGCGGGATCTACAAATCGAAGAATTCCGATTCTAACAGATAGCGTGAATAACGAAGAGCGAATATTACCGTTACCACCTATCGGTATTTATCAATAGTTATAGCAAATATTGTTTATTAAAGATATGAAACATCGCGATTAAATATCTATGCAACAATCGTGCTTATTTATTTGCTTTGTTCGGTTGGAGATGATTTTCTTCGTTCTTTTTTCGATTATTCGATTCAATAGATTAACGTTATACGAGGAAAGAATATCTACTAGTACTAAAGAACATCTAATCGCTACTACTACTACTACTACTACTACTACTACTACTATTACTACTACTACTACTACTACTACTACTGCTACTACCACTACTACTACTACAGATTAAACTAATCGTTGCATCACAAATGGTTTCTCTGCATGTTCAATGTAACAATAAGAATCTGCAGCACGTTCAATGTACAATAAGTTTTCGTTAATAACGGTACGTTTGTCGATGAATTAAAATCCTCGTTGAATCACTAGTACATGTATAATCCAAGATAGAAAATTTATCGAAAAGGTTATCAACGGAAACCGAGCAAAAGACATTCTAACTCATCGATTTACTTTTTTTATATACATATGTACGTACGATGGACATGAATAATTACCATATACAATTCAAAGGGATTCTACGCGGTTGGTTTTTTCCTCTTTCTAGATTACAACTAAAACATCTTGGAGAAATAAATGACTAAACCGTTTTACGATAAGATTAGTAGAGAACACGATCATCCTACATACTACGCCGAGGGAGAACCGACAATGAATTGAAAATAGAAAAATTCACTACGTTTGAGTGACGAAGCAATCTGACAATACAATCTGTTTTTTCCCCAATACGCAAATATCCCGATTAATTTTATGATCGTACATAATAATCGTGAATATTCCAATACGGTACGATTAAAGAATAACCGATATATGTATTATTCTAATTATCTGAATGAACAAACATTGAAAACATTGAAACAGAAAGTATGTACGTATTTAGTTAGACAAGTAAGAAACAAGCGAAATCATGAATACAGTAAAGGGACGTATGTAAGTATTTATAAGTGGTCACCGTGATCAGTCAAACTTTTACATCTTCGTCTTATCCCCAGTTTTCTTTCTGAAACCGAAAAGAGCCAGTCTGAACTAAATCGAATCGAATCGAATCGAATCGAATCGAATCGAATCGAATCGAATCGAATCGAATCGAATCAAAAATTTGTACACTAAAAAAAGACACGGACAGCAACCTGTTCGGTTTTAGCAGTTAAAATTATTGAATTTATAGTTTTTCCATAGTTGGAACGGGAGACGATAACGCACATAATAAGCATGCTCAGATAACGAGTAGCCGTTTGAGCTAACGTAGTCCGATAAACGGTG